ATTGCAAGTCTAGTCATGTACCTAGAAATGCAGCAGTGCTCCTGAGAATCTGGGTACTGGAATTATTATTTGTGGGATTTTCCTAGAATGCATCAGACAACCTTAAAGTAAAACTATTTCCCAGTGCAGAATGCCTATTAGAAATATTCTCAGTGAAAGAATCTCTTTTCCAAACAGCTCATGCAGGATATAATATTATTTAATAATTTTATTGTCTTTAGAGGTATGGAATTTTTAGTGACTACAACAAAAAAAATTTAAAAAAACTGGATAGATTATTGGTATTACACTGCTGAGGGAACCATGTGAAACATAAAATAATGCCTCTAATCTATGATTTTTTATACATTTTTGTTGGTTTAAGTTCCCCCACTGATGGTTTAGTAACACTGCTCATCAGCTTCCATCAGAGCAGTGCACACTGGTACAGACATGTGGACAGGTGCCCAGTGAGCTGCAGCATCACCTGAGCACCTCAAGAGGAAGAAGCAGCAGCTGGGGAAACACTTCTGCACAGTACCTGTATTCATATACAGATTAGAAGAAATGAAAGACACCATGAAGAAACAAAAAAACAATGAAAACTCAAACCAACAGAAAAAAATATTAAGTTAAAAGTAGCTGTTTAATACTGATAATAAAGAAGATTAGAAGTTTGTTTCCTTTCTCACCTAGAATTTATTATTGTCACTCCAAAAACAGTCTTTGTGAAAAAAACAAACTATATGGAGAATATATTGACTCTTTGAAGCTTTTTGAAATGGTACTCTACTGAGGATATGTTACCTGTAATAAAAGAGAAGAAAGTGGCCTTTTCTGCAGCAGTAACTTAGAGTTTAAAAAAAAAAGATAGAGGTAACTCATACAAAATGTACATCTTTGGTCAGAACCATAGTGAAATAGAAGAAAATTTTAGTAGCCATATTTTTGAGACACATTTTTCTCAGGCCAGAAGTTTTATTTTGTATTTTATGTGACTGTGATCATGTCACTTTATTTAAGGCTTTACTGGCACAGAGTAGTACCTGAATACTCAAATAGTCCCATCTATTTCAGGGCACCTTGCTTTCCCACTAGGTTTCTAGTGACACAAAATAAGACTTCAGGAACAAACAGTGATTCAGAAATTGTTAGTAGGCATCTAATTAGATTTTACTAATTAGATCCTATTAAGTTAAATTGGAAGTTAAAAATATACTCAATTAGACAACAGTAATGGAACTAGGACCCCTGAAATTATCCTTACCACAATAATGTTGAAACTTGATGCTGAACTGAGTATTAGCTGAGAGCATTACAATGTGAAATACTGCGCACTTTGGATCACTGAATACAAAAAAGATTTTGTTTCATTTCAGAAACCGTCTATTTTGGCATATAGCTCCATGGAGAGTTTCAGCCCAATGTTCAGGGTGTTTGTGTCCCATGAATGCTGCAGATTGAGATGTTCTTTGGCCACACATCATAACCGGGCTGTGCAACAGCATTAGTCCTGCTTGGGAGAGGACTGACAGGGCTGGAAGGAAAATGGGCATGAAGTGACATGTGATATTTTTCAGGTTTCAGATTAATTGGGTAGCATAAGTTTATTTGGTGATGTAAATTTTCTGCACTTACTAGCTTTATAAACTTCTGGAAACCCATTACAGAGCAAGCAACCCAAACCCCTTAGCACTGGCTTTGACTCAGTGCAGTCGGGGCCAAGAGACTTTGGCTCTTAATGTTAAAAGGCTCAGGATCAACAGAGGATCATGGAATGATTTGGGTTGGCAGAGACCTCCAAAATCCATCCAGTTCCAATCCACTTGTCATGAGAAGAAATGCCATCCATTAGATCAGTTTCCTCAGGGCCCCATTCTCACATGGCTGTTATCAAAACAAAACATCTAATAGCATCTTGCTAAGAACAAAAAAAAAAAAATACTCAGCCAAGGAGATTATATCAGGTATTCTGGGAATAATATTACTAATGGCAAGTCACTGAGGATTGTGGCAAAGGCTTGATTCTCTCTTCCAATGCATCCGCTTTAAACAAGATTATTCTGCTACTGGTGTCAGTGGACTTGGGCTTGTGTAATGGATGAAGGGATCAGGCGCAAGAAATTATAAGATTCTTTTTTCATTCTTAAGAGGTAGGCCTTTTGTAACATTATTCTTATGGCAATTTGAATAATGATATCCATAATTATCATTAGCATTTGTATTAAAATTTCCATTATTTTTTGGCAGTTTTCCCAAATTAAATGAATATTTGCTGCTACAAAAGTTTATGGTTTCTCTTGTTGACTGGCCAACAAGACTGAAATAGTAAACTACAGAAAGGATGGATTGGATTTCTGGCTTTGTCAAGTGTAGGTGGCTTAGTCAGAATGAGAATTTCTGTGAGTGTGTCAGGTATACACTAAATTAAGAGTAGGTATTATGTCCCATGAGATATTTTTTAATGTATATAAAGTGATGGGATGAGGCAACTGTGAGTTAAATTCGTGTCTACACCCCAAAAAATCTCCTCAACCCTATGTACCGTTGCAAGTTGTTATAGGGAGAGTTGTATATTTTTTCCGGTTTATCTAGGACTTTGTGCATTAGATGCTGACTTGCACAAAAATAGAAATATTTTAATTGAAAAAGAAGGGAAATATTTTATAGGCTTGGAATGAAAAGCTTTTGTAATCCGTTTCTGCTAAGCTATATAGGAAGTTTACTGAAAGAATCCTCTCTCTGGGCAACATATCTAGGGGGAAAATTTCAGCTTTTTAAGCTTTTTTATTTTCAAATATTTATATTTGAATTTAAAAAAAAGAAATGGGAATGGAGGCCTATCTATTTCTTGCAAATTTTAAAAATCCTTTTCTAGCAACAACAGTGTGAAGATTTAAACATTTTAAAAAGTATGTGCAGTTGAAAACAAGAAGAGTGATTGGGCATCATATTTGCTGGATGTTTCTGTTGGAGATATTTTTCAACAAAACCAAGGTATGACAATAATAGGAAGAATAACATGTGCTAATGAAGTGGCTGCTGTGTGTTACACACTCAGCTCTGTGAATCGCTGCTGACCTGACCCAGCTCACAACAGGATGAACATGAGGAACAATTGTTCAAGGGACAAGGGGGGCAGAGAGTAGGGAAGGACAAAAATCATCTGGCTTGTGAAGCCTGCAAGGGACACACTGCTGATATCCAATAGTTTAATAATAGCACAAGACTCAAGGGGCTGCTCCTCCCTGACTCAGCCTTAATTGGGAAGGCAAACTTTAAAATTGTTTCCTTGGCAAAACCTTTCCTGAATATGGATAGCTAAAACACCCTAGGTTTATACACTCCAACCTATTTAGTCTCGTGGATGGAGGTAATAAAAAATACATTATTTTGAAACCAGGGAATTAGTTTAAGTCTCATGATTTTCCGTAAGCTCATGACATTCAATCAGATGCATATCAAATGCCTTGGTCATGTAGTTTAAAGAATTTTCTTAATTGTCACTTTGTTCTTCTGCCCATTGATATTTAACTGCTTAGTGAAGCTTATAAAAAAATGTATTCAATCTGTCTTCACAGGAAAAAGTTGCTATTTAGAACTCTGAGCTTACATTTTATTATTTTAAATATTTAAATATTTTTTAAAGGAAGAAAAAAATCAAAATTACTCCTGTGAAACAAGAAATCCTCATTTGGTTTTAAAATTATTTTCAAGGAGATATAGACCAGCATTTCTTTGACTTTTCTTGTCAGGGATTCTTAAATTTAAAATGTTAAGTGTAGAAAAATTACAATGGGTGAATATTAAGCTATTACCCAAATAAAACCAACTAATTTAAAAAAGCATATCTAAACTCTCTGATCAAAGAAATTATTTCAAACTGCCATAAAAGTAATTTAAATTTTCCTCATTTTTTTTTTAATAAGTGAAAAAGGTATTGTTTTGAAACCTTTTGTTTAACAAATGAATGCAACTAGACTTTTCCTGTTTGAATATGGAGTGCTCCCAAATAGCATGTTAGAGACATTTGTTGTGCATGCCTGCTTGATACAGTGCTAATGGTGAATAAGCTTATAGGACACCTGTTAGTTTTGATATAAGTGAAAAACTAAGCAAGAAAAGTAAGAAAGCAGGGAAGAAATTATCATCTTCTAAATAAAATCTGAATGTTCTCCAGGTTAGCACTGGAAACTTTGGCTAAAAGTTTGACTGTAAAAGCAGGAGTGTTTTTGGAAAGGATATTTAACAGCCAAATATCCAAGCTGTCAGATGAAACTCTGTGGAGGGAACAACTGCTCTAAGGAATGTAAAAGCAGGGATTAAGGACATTTAAGTACTGTACTTCGGTTGTTAGAGATTACATTTTTCTAATTTAAGATACAGTATATGTTTCATTCTGAGTCATGGAAGGAGGAAAGCAGGGATATATAGTTAATACAAATTGCTAGGAATAAAAAGTGGGGAGGAAAATCCATACTGCCTTTATCCTAATTTGCATCTGCGCTTAAGAAGAAGAGTGGCTATAATTGCTTTAGAGGAACGCAAGTGAAATAAGCTAAATTAATGCTAGTTATGAAGCAAGATTAAAGAAGTTCAGCTTTTTTCCTCATTTAAGAAGAGGAGACTTCACAGTGACATAGCTGAATTTTCTAAAAATACGAGGAGTGAAGATTACTAGAAGCAGAGAACAAAACACAAAGACAAAAATGGACTTACAAAATTGGCAAAAGAGAGGATATAGACAGAACTGTTTCAGATAAATTGGGCTGCTCCTAGAGAATCTTTTACCAGAAGAGAGCAGACTCAGAGATGCAAACTCAGGAGAAGAGAGAGAGACAGTCTTCTAAGAAAAAAGCTGGTGCAATTTAACATAAAGAAAACCAGAAACTGAAACTTAGGTTTGAGAAATGAGTCTGGACAAGCTGATAACAAGAGACACTTTCAGCTAAAACTCAAACTTTTTCAAAAGCCTAAAGAAAAAAGAGAAGTGGGGGTTTTTTTCTCTCTTTACTCCTCTTTTCCCAGGCACACATATCATTGCTTCTGTTTAATAACATGTGATTCCAAAGTAGGTTTGCTGCAGTCATCCCTGAGCAATAAGGTAAAGAAAACCTGTTGGCATTTACAGTAGTATACAGATAATAGCTGGAATAGATGCTTATGCATTTTGGAAGGATGGAGACATAATGGGGAGTAGTAGGAGCAGAGATCAGTAATTTATATTTTGTGTGTGATTTGAATTAAGAAGCATTGGTACGTTAAGAAATACAGTAGGTTTACACATTCTGATAGCTTTTGTAAAAATGTGTGGGTAACTGATATTACAGGTTTCAATACTTTAAATTTTGATTTATTCTTTAACATTGTCTGCATAGCAAGAGGTAATGTGTTCTTGAACAACCTTTCTACATTAGTACAGAGCTGCTTATGTAGTAGAAGTCTGCTGCTGTTTTAAAGACAATGTGAAATTCTGTGTTGGCCCACATTTCAGGAATACCTGTGATTCTCACACTTCAAAAACTGAAACACTAGAATGAAAATAATAAAGTGAAGAATGAAGAGGACGATCAAAGGTAGGGAATCCTGTATTTTTTACTGCAGGGAATATCAATGTCTGTCTGGAAAGTCTCAGTCTGGGAAGAGATGACTAGAAATTTGACATGACTAGAGGAAAGAAATTAGGACCATGAAGAGTCTACTTTGGGAATTATTTATTCACTGTTTCCCCAACAGAGCTAAAGGGGATGGAGATGGTTTGGAGGAATTTGTCAGGTAGACATTAAAAGAAACATCAGCGTCACTCAATTACACCATGCAACATTTTGTCTTGATACCATATCTTAGATAGTTTCAAAAAACAATTATGCAAATTCATGAAAGAAAGTATTTTAAACAAAAGTGTTAGGAATTCTTTCAGACAGAAATTTTCTGAAAACTAGGGAAGCATACTGGAAGCAAATAATTTCTCTGTATTTGACTACATTTTATATGCTAATCCCAAGCATCCAACCCTAGTAATCACAAATAGCAAGATGAACCCTTGCCTGATACAGGACAACTCATTCTCAACATAGCTATAAAGATACAAATAGTGTCCATATACATACATATATAAAAAGATACAATAGTATCCACTATGTAAGGCAAATATTTACCTTTTAGCTGAGTAGAGGGAAAAAATGTTCAAAAACAGCAAAACTGCTAGCTCTTTGCACATGCTGACATTTTAATAAATATGGTTTTAAATTATGTTATAAAAGAAAATGACGTTTTAGGTTTCCATTTCATTAGTTTGATAAATCAAGTCTATTTCAAAATTCTGATTAATTTCAAACACTTTCTGACATGGTGCAAGAACAAGTATACTAGTACTGGTTACATAACAATTTATACCACAACTCCCTTTGGAACCTCTTTGAGTATCCCTTTTTCTTACCATTTTTATGGGATTTTTGAGGTCTTCATTATTTGTAATTTCTGGATTGACTGTTTCATATTTCACCGAAGTTCCTTTTTCTGATAGCTTGCTTTGATCACTTTTGGTACCAGAGCTAAGAACCATATTGCTACCTACACATTTCGTATTACGGATAATCCTGCCACAAATCTTCTCTTGATCCTCACAGTTATCTGCTGCTAGCTCTGTGGAAGTAATTTTCATTTCCAGAATTTCAAGGTTATATACAGCAACACAGCAGGTAAGACAGGCATGTTACCTTCTCTGCTTCAACACACTTGTTTTGCTTGCTTGTAATTGAGTCTGAACCTTTTTGTTGTTTTATTAATTACTTTCAGTTGTTTTAGCAGAAGATCGAGATGTCAATTATTCGTACTGTATTTACAGAATCAAATATTGCCATGGCCTTTATTTCGGTTTTGGCCCCACAAGGAAGATCATCACATAAACCAAACCTTTCCTGACAGATGCTTGCCTTATGTAAATGTTTATGTAATACAAATTCTAGACCCTTCCCAGATCCTGTCTGTGATGTTAAATGGTTCTGTTGCAAGATGTTTTTCTTCATAAATTCCAACGTAGGTCTTCTTTGAAGTGATTTAAAATCCTTACCTCTTGCTTTTGTCTAAAAAGAACAAAGTTAGAACTTTATTTCCACTTGTCCCCGCTGCAAATTTTCACACTTCTGAGAACCTGTCATATTTCTCCTGTGTGGCCAGCTCTCTAAGAGAAACCTAGTTCTTACAACCTTTCAGAAAATATGTTTGCTAGTTCTTTGATCATTGTTTTTGTTCTCTTAGGCATTGTCTTCTAATAGTTTTCATCATTTACTGTATCAGGGGTAGGACAAAGAAGGATAAAAGGTTGAAGATAGTAAAATATATAACATATTTTGTTTTAAACTGCTTTTAAAGTTTTAGGTGATATATAAAGCTGTATGAGTCTTTTAGTTGAAGACTTCACATAGATTTTTCCCTCTTTTTCCTCGCTTAGAGAAAATTATTTTTATGTTAGAATATTTAGGTGTTCAACAGCAATAGCATAAATAGTAGTTAACTATATTAAAAAGCACATTTGATTGAAATGCAGATTTACAAAAAACAATAAGAACTCACCTGTGGCTTAAAGAAATGGCTCTATTGTAATTTTGTGTTTCCTCCTGGCCTTTATCCATCTCCCACTTAAAGTAAACCAAAAATTTAGCAAACAACCCAATAAATCCAGGAACCAGATTTACTTATATATGGAATAACACTTGTTTACATATGCTATTAATCCATATGATTATTCCATTTTTCTCTAAGGTGAAGCCAGTTATGACAACTATGGTTGCACAGTTGTTTTGTAGCCTGCTGAAATTACAGCTTCTATATTGCACGTGCACAAATTATAAATTACAACAAAAAACTTGTCAGAATATGTTTGTGTGAATATGTTATAACTATTGGGCAGTCGTTTATAAGTGATCTGAGACATTAAAAAAGGGAACAAGTAACATCAATGCTGGAAAGATTAAAGAAACATTATTCTGAAACAGGTTGTCATATGCCAGGATCAGAAATAAGGTGCAGAGAAAAAGCATGGATATTGTCTGAGGGACAAGGTATTGTGAATGAGAGACAAGTGCTGAAATCAGGGAAATATCATAGAGTGAAAATGAATGAGTGGTGTGTGGGGACTTTGATTGGGAGATACAACTGATGAGGCAAAGCAAGAGGGATTCATCAGTAGAGCAGAGCACAGAACAAGAAAGTTAAAAGAAAATCTTTGATACTGTCAAAAAGCATCTAAATCACTCAACATTCCTTTAAAAGTCATCAAGGCAGCAGATGGCAGGGCCCTAATGAGACTAGAAAATATCAATACCTGCTTTAAAAGAAGTCTTCTAGAATTACACAAAACACTGAGAGAAATTCCAGTCTTGAGTAGGAGTGACATACTCTCTATATAGAATTATATCCATACATAGCTACTGTTAAGCTAGCCAATAAACAGTTATAAATTGTATATCCAATATTATTTTGCATAATCTATATATACAAACACAATATCTGCTTGAATTTTCAGGATAACATGGTTCAGTCTCCACAGAGAAGGTACCAGTAAGTTTCATAATGCAGAGTAAATTTTGTGGAACTGCCTAAGTGATTAAACTGCAGATTATAAGGATTTGAAGATTTAAACAGAGTTGATGTGCTTCAGGATGCATATCATGTGTGCATATATTGCATAATCAAGTGTAGGTAATTTAGGTACAGTTTTATCAGGCATTCAGTCTTTTTCTAAAACTGATTTCACAACTGGAGCCCAAGATGCTTGAATTCTCCTTCCCTTTCAATGTCTTGTGCCTCCTTCCCCTTTAAAGAGATATGTTTTCCTCTGTTGTAGAAATGCTTTCTCTATCTCATGGCTATGAATGTTCTTTCACCAACTTTCCTCATCAGGTAAAAGCCATTTAAAATTTCAATGACAAGAGGCAGAATACATAGAAGTGTCATTAACAACAACTTGATTTTAATTTCATTATAAGATTAAGATTCTTTTTCCTCTCCATTCCTCTTTCTCCGTTTTCCTTATTTTTTTTTATTCCTGTGCTCACACTGTCAATCATCACTGTTTTCCTCTGTCTTTCCTGCCCATTGTATGCTAATTATTTTTTCACTTTAAGTGCATTAGATTTTTTTTTTCTACTAATTTCTTATCTTTATTTATAGGGGAGACACAATATTTTTCCCCTCAATGATTATATAATAAAGAACCTCAGAAAATAAAAAGTTTTTACCATTAGGAAAGAAGCTGTAGAAGCTTTCTAATGGAGAAAACAGAAGGCTGTGGACAGTGGTGAAAATAATCAGCTCATACCCTTCTAACAGAAAAGGGAGAGCTAAATGAGTGTGAAACTGCACAATAATCAATCTCCCATGGGAATAAGATTCTGCTGCATTTCATTAGAGATCGTTTCAAGGGCAAGATGGAAATGACAAGACTCAGCAACTGTGCAGGAGGCAAGAGCAGGCTCTGACTATACAGCAAGGCTTACAAAGGGCATAATCCTACCCTCAAATACCTAGCACTCTTTTTCATCTACTCAACAACAAATGCAAAAAAAACCCAAAAAAACAAAACAAAAAAAAAACTACTGATGTGCAGTACATGGAATTGGAAACAGCAGGATAGGCAGCAGTGAAATTTGAAATGTCAGTACAAGAGTACACTGAAGTCCTGGTTTGTGATGACATTCTGCTACAGTGGCACACAGTAAAAGTAGAAGTAAAGGCTGAGTGTTTCCTCATTGCAGTCGCAGCTTCCTGGTGGTGGGAGACCAGCAGAGGGATGCTGATCTTCTCTTCCTGGTGTCAGCAAGAGGACACATGGAAATGGAATGGAGCTGCATCAGGGAAAGCTCAGACAGGACACCAGGAGAAGATCCTTCACCCAGAAGGTGGCTGGTCACAGGCTCCCAAAAAGAGTGGCTGTAGCACCAAACCTGTCAGTGTCCAGGAACATTAGAGAGATCACTCTTGGTGATCCTGTTTAGTGTTGGGCAGTACTGGGAGGAGCAGAGGCTTGGACTCAATGATATTCTCAATGGTATTCTGATTCTGAGAGTCTGAACAGCTGTCCACAAAAGAAAACCTGTTTAACAAAAAAAACCCCAATATCGATGCAGGATAACTCCCAGCCAGGGAATAACCTGCTCTAACTCCATGATTCAGGAGGCTGAACAATTGCTTTAGTAAGCTATACTATATTATATTACATTCTACACTATACCAATACTAAGCGAACTAAAGAAAATAATAATACTATTCTATACTAAAGAAAAATCCATGACCCTTTCAGATAGTCATGACACAGCTTTGATCTGATTGGTCAATCAGTCCAAACAACCATCAGCAGAGTCCAATTAACAAACCACTCTTTAGTGAACAATCTCCATATCACATTCCACATGTGCCAAGCAACAGGCACAGCAAGTAGAGACAAGAATTGTTTTCTCTTCTCTCTCTCAGCTCTGTCATTGCCTTCCCCAGGAAAAATTCTGAGAGAGAATGATGTCTCTCTCTGTTTAAAGAGTATGTGATGACCACACCCTGATACTTTCATGCTGCTCTTCATGAATTACCTTTGCTTCTTAGGTAATTTTGGATAGTCTGCATTTCAGATTTGTAGAAACTTCATAAGTAATTCTGTTGCCTGGAAACACATCAGAGGTGAATTTTAGATCCAGCTACAGCAAGGGAATGCTGGAGAACTGCTTAGGTTGGGTATGAAAGAGCTGAGACCCTTGTCCAAATGCAAAATACACTCAGGTCCTGCAAGATACATTCTAATGAAAATATTTTAGGCCTTTCCAAAAGAAAGTGTTGTGAGTTTGGAATGAGCAATTATGTTTATTTGTTTTTTTATTTAATATAACTTTCTGCACATAAACCAGATAAATCTCTCTAAAAAGAAGATCTGGCACCAGCCAAACTTTAGTTCAAAGTTCCGTATTCAAAATTTATGGTCTTTTGGGTTTTCACTTGGCCATTACCTCCATGCTCTTTGGCATCAAATAAACATTCACACAATGTTTTGATGGGGCCATTCCTGCTTTTCATGCTTGAGTATATCTTTATTACAAACAGAACCATCTCTAGAAACCTTGGCAGTGCAGCTTGAAAAGAATGAAGGACAAGTATGGCCTAAGAAAATCTGTGAGTGATTGAGATCAGTGGCTCAGGGAACTGTCCCTTGCAAAATAAAAACAAACAAAAAAAAACAACGAGCAAAGATTGAGGCATAAAGCCATAGGAAGTTTTGAAACTTATCCAGGGTTAGAGATTGGGAAGTTTTCATTTCTGTAAGAGCAGATGGGTTCAGAGCAAGATAGTGTGCTCAGGGAGCTGGTGTCAGATACCTAGAATCAGAACCATTAACGTTGGAAAAGACCCTTAAGATCATTTGTTCAATCATAAACCTATCACTACTACTGCCATTTTCCCCCTAAAACCATGTATTTGAATGCCACATCTACATGTCGTTTGAAGAGATCCAGGGTCTGGGACTCAGCCACTTGGGCACTGGGGCAGAGCCCCTGTGCACCCCAGCAGCCCCTGCACCCATAACCCTCAGCTAAAGATCTTTCTTACCTTTTTAGCCACAGGAAGGGTGTATGGGAAATGGACTCTAAGACCCCATTTGTCTAAAAAACCCTAGTCCCAAAGTGCTGTGTGAAGAGCAAAGAAAGGGGTTTTGTACCTCAGGAACAGTGTGCAGGCAGCTGCTGCTGATTGCAGAGCCTGTGCTGCAGAGCTG